GGTCGTTTCCTAACCGGAGGATTAGCGGTTCGATTCTCGGCTTATCCAGTCAACATGTCGAGGTGTCCTTGAGCAAGACACTGAACCCCCAGTTGCTCCCGGTGATGTCACCGGTGTGTGAATGCGTGAGTGCTTGGGAGTGCGAATGGGTGAATGGCCGAATAATGTGAAAGCGCTTTGAGTGTGCTGTAAAAAGCATAGAAAGGCGCTATACAAGTATAAGACCATTTACCATGATGGGCCTCCACCATGAGGGGCCGATACCATGACGAGCTGGCCCCATGATGGGCCTCCACCATGAAGGGCCTCTACCATGATGGGCCGATACCATGAAGGGCCTCCACCATCCAAAAAATGTGACACCATCCGACAGGGCACTTTTCTGGTGGATCACTCTGTAACCAACAGGAGCCTGAGGGAGTGAGAGTATGGGCGGACCGGGGTGGGGATCAGGACACTAAAACCTTTGTGACTCACGGGGGGCCCAGTGCGTTGCACACGCCAGAGTTTAATTTGTTTCTGTCTGTTGAATAATGTCTGAGGAAAGGTTCATAAGCTGGTGAGTAGGTGCAGCTGTGTGAGCCATCTTTTTAATAACACAATGGTTCAAAGCACAGAAAACTAAACAACCACGATGGGTGAAAAAAGACAAGTCAGCAACCAGCAATCAGCCTGACAACAGGCAGCTCCACACAGCAAACAGGGAGGCGGCATCAGTCATGTCCACAGCTGGTGACAGGGCACACAGGTGTGGGGGGTCCACACTGAGCTCTGGGCTGGGTCACTGGAGTGGGGATCCTGGCCAGGAGTTGGATCACGATCACTAGACTGGGAATCAGGAGACTCTGTTGGATTTAGACTCTGATGGACCGAACATGTCATGAACAGATCGGCCCAAACGTCTTCCTTCAAACACGTCGCAGTAGATTTTCTCTCAGGATTATTGATGGGTGTTCAGGTTCTTCTTCTCTGCTGGTTGGTAATGTCTCATTCTGCTTCCATCAGTCTGCGGGGACAGGAGGTAACTCGGAGGAATGCTGGGAGATATGTGAAGGTTGCTAGGTTACCACACCCAGCCGTTCAATCAGCTGGCAGAAATGTGGGAGAGACGAAAGAGAGAGATGCTGCAGTAAACTCGACCTCCCACCGTCAGAGCCCCGACACCAAGAGACAGAGAGTAAAGTACGAGTGAGTCCGACCCACAGGTCCCCAAAAACTGTCCATCACTGCAACGCTGGAAGAAGAAGTAGTAACAAGAAGTACTCAGATCTTTTAGTGAAGTAGAAATATCAGTGTACAAATACTCAAGTAAAATACAAATACCTCAAAATGTGCTTAAGTAAAGTACCTGAGTGAATGTACTCGGTCACGTTGTGTAGTCAGTGATGACATCTGTCCTAATTTAGTACAAGTACACAAGCCTCCACCTGCAGTCAGGTATTTTCCTACATTTCCCATGATTCCTTTCAACAACCCAGAATGAAGATGCTTTTGGAAAAACCTGCAGCTCTCCTCACATTAATCCATGAGCCTGACAGAAAAGCCACATTTGACCAGATCGATTTATATTCACATAAAGTTTTTGTCTTTGACCGTTGTTTGGAAAATGTGTAAAGTTTGGATGCAAACGTGACTCAAGGGGATTTTAGCCACCGCACACTGACAGTGAACTGACTTTTCCAGTGGGTGTGTCCCCCTGTCTCTCCCTCTTTGTGCTCGGAGGAGGGGATGATCTCATTAATGTCATGGCAGAGGTCATTAGTAGCGGTCACTGCATTTGTACAAGC